ATCTCTCGGTTGAGATAATGTCGTGATAAGAGGTCAGATTATCACGTAAATTATTTGCAGCATCCACAGAACCTCTAGATCTGTTTAATACTATAAAAAATAATTTAAAAAACTCAACGAAATAAAAATACAGGTCTTAAGCTTTGTAGTAATCACACGCGTCGTGTAAACTGAGAAGGTCTGTCCAATAAAAAAAATGTAGTTTATATCGGCCCATTTGGGCCGACTAAATCTTTACTTGTTAATAAAAATACAGTATCATGGATATTATTATATTTCTTTACCTTTGAACTACAGTGATCTCAGTTAGTCAAGACATTGTGCTTTTGTGTGTATACACCATTAAGATCATCAAGAGCCATTAAAACAATGTATAAAATTTAAATTGGGCTGATGATTTGGTGCCCAATAAAACTATTAAATTATTCTTAATAGCCCCTGAGAGCCTGAAATGTCTTAACTTATACTTAACCATCTTGAGATGTTGCCATAAGTAAAGCCTTAAGGCAAGCAATATCTATACGCGATCTGTTTCAAACCAGTGTATAGTCAAATTTACCTTTCCATGAGATTAATCACGTTACGAATTAGGAACTATGCTAAGTTCATATAAATCTGATCATAACTGAATTACCTTTATACTTTACAAACCTTTACGGTATGGTTGTAACATCGCCTCAGTTAACACTTATTCGTACTTACTCTCATTTATTTGTAATAAAGAGGCTTGACTAAGCATTCAATGAAATAAAACATTAAAAAGAAAGCAAAAAAAAAGAGAGATATGGAGATTTTTGAAGTGACGTGTGATGCTGTGGTGCCGGAGATTGGACTCATGTAGTAGTGACGTCGATGCCAACTTTGGTGGGGCGCAAAATAAAGACAACTGGCAAGTTATCGGAGTGTTACTTTTGAGTGGTGCCCCGGTATTTGACTCAGCCTCCCTGGCTGGCATGGCAAAAAGATCAGAAAAAACTTGCAATTGAAAAAAATTAAAAAACGCCGCCAACCCTTTCTACTCCTCCTCTTCTCTTAAATTATAATCAACATGCTTCGTTCTGCTGCTGTTCGTGCTCGTACTGGTGCCGTTCGTATGGTCGGTCGCCGTAACGCCTCTACTAACGTTTCTGTCCAAAACATTGAAACTCGTTGGAAGACTCTTTCTACTGCCGAACAAAACACCATTGCTAAACAACTTGAAGAAGCACAAAAGGGTGACTGGAAGGTTCTTTCTCTTGAAGAAAAGAAGGCTGCCTGTGAGTAGTTTTTTATTATCTTTACTTTTCAGGAATCCTATTGACACTTGATAGACTACATTGCTTTTGGCCCTCACGGTCCTCGTGAACCTTTGACCAAGCCTGGTCATGGCATGAAGGTTGTTGGTGGTGTCTCTGGTGTTATTGCTGCCTCCGCTGCTCTCTTCTATGCTATCCGTGTTAATGGTAATGAGATTAAAGAGATGCCAAGTTAAATACTTATATATATTTTTATAGGACAAGAAACTCCCAAGACTATCAGCAAAGAATGGGAAGAAGCTACCAACGAATATCTCAAGAGCCAGAACTCCAACCCCATCACTGGTATCTCTTCAGAAGGTTACAAAGGAAAGGGTTATGTTACCAGCGATTAATAAAATTCAACATACACAATTCTTCAATTCAACTTAAAAGAAACACAAGGAAATAATCAACGCTTCTATTCTTTTTATGTAGACGATATCAAAAGGATTATTTTCTTTTTTCTTTTGTTCCTTTTTAATATATAAATTACATGTAAAAGATCTAACAAAAATCAGTTCATTTTTTTATTATTATTTTACTCTTTTGTCAACTAAAAAGGCTAGATGACAGATAATATGGATATGTGAGATATTTGTGAGTTGTTGACGGCATAGAGCATAATAAAGCATTCATTTGGTGTAATACATATTACCTTGTTTATCAATAAAAGAAGAATATCATGTAGTTTATAAAGATATTCACAACACAAAATAGATACAGCAATAAAACAATTGATCCACATACAAAATAAATAAACACCTTCTTTAAGTTCAAATGAGCTTATACCAATTTATTCAGAATGAGAAGGCTGACTATTATATGTTGGGTTAGCAACACGATTGCATTTCGAAATGTCAAACTAGAGTCAAGCTCAAAGTAGATTCAGTTACACTTTCTGATGACAAAGTCGGAATCTGAATCGATATGCGGTGAAGTGGCATTTTTCCTCAACTTCAAATAGCCGCCTTTCACTCTCAATTCTTAACCTTTTCGAATGCGCTCAAAACCATCAACATTATCAAATCAATTTCTATCTCTTCATAATAGACAGCAGCAATAATCCTTTAAAGAATTGTTCACAGCTTCCTGTGATCAAAGAAACGCCTAAGGCCAAAAACAGCACTCGTCAGTTCCTTTTCTGGATATCGTACAGTTTTTTCTGCACGCAATTTCGCATAATTCGAAAATTTATAATACAAAATATACAAAATACGACACCTTGGAACGACATTACTTTCTGGAAATAGTGTATACAATGACAGCTCCTATAAAAACAAGCAATTAATAACAGAAACGGAAGAATTCTCTTGCTTCAGCGTGATAGGCTGTGTATGTACAATGACCATGAGCGAGTTAAATATTATTCCACTTGAAAAAAAAGAAATGATTACAATCAACAAAAAAATCAAGTCAATGTATGATGATGCTCATAAGGATGCTATGAACAAGGCTTTAAAGCCAGAAGATATGGACAAAAGGTTGCTCCTTACTACTTTATTTGTCTGCCCCAAATCAATAAATATAATTGAACAATATTTAGTACCTATTGCACGACTACTAGAAAGCATTATCAGCTGCACAAAATCAATGGAAATGGCTATGGATCATAACACCATTATGAATGTAGAAGGAGCTCAATTCAACAGTATTGAAGAGCTAGCCCTTCATAAATCCATATACTACATCAAATAAGCCTCCCTTTTCTCTCTTTACATCACCCTTAGTATTATGAAGGGTAAAAAACCGCAAAGGGGTCTTTTTAATCCTTCAAAATCACATAAACCTCCAGAGTGGAAGCGTACAGATCCGAAGAGACCTAGCAATGAAGTTCAATCCAATCAAGCTGTCGTAGCTGAATCAAATCAAGTCGCACAAAATATCGTATCAACTCCCTTTTTCTTGATGTCCAACAATATTTTGCATGCTACAGGCTATAGCAAGTTTACTGCAAAAATAACACCACGCCTTGTACCAAGCGCTTTAAACGCTCTGAACGTTGATGCTCTTTTTTCTTTTCACCATCTCTTGTACAAGAACCAAGCAACAAAAAGACGCGTGCTATCACGCAAGATTCATTCAAGTGTATCGACAAAGTAGAAAATATAAAAATAGACAATGGCTTATTAAAGTCAAGTAAAATTACACTTTTGAGTACTGACAATGGTCTTGTTATTATGACAGAAACTGTTGGCTTTGACATGAAAAGTTTTAAACTTCATCTTGGTCTATATAATAAGTATTCTGCTTTAGAAAACATGTTGGAAGAAGATAATGCTGATATTGATATAATGGAGCTTACTGTCGCTAACACTAATATGCTCAATTATTATGTTTCAGAACAAGAAACAAGTGATTCCACTATTCAAATGTTCTCCTCCATATATGCAGTTACCTGGGCCATACAAGTTCCATGCATCTGAAGTTGACTATAAAAACGGTGCACAGAAATATAGAAAACAACTTGAACGTGCTGAAAAGACTACGACAAGTGATAAAAATCCGAGGCCCTTTTAAGCAAAGTTGATACGGCAAATGCTAGAAACTTGAACATTTAAATGAATTACATAATACATATATTGAACATAAACATATTATACAAAATTTTTACTACTCGCCAAGTCGACTGGAACAGGAAAGAAGATGTAAGTTACAAAAGCGCAAATACCCTGATAGACTTTACTCAGATGATCGTAGATATGCCACATCTTCTAGAAAGGTAAAACCCACCATGCTTGTTGATGATCGTGGCTTAGGTATAGGCTCACGAATCAAAGGATACATGCGATACAGCGGCCACTGGAAACCTAAGAAGCACAGCCTGCATGCCTCTGTATGCATAACGAACGAGCATAATACCTCCCAAACGTGCATCCATTACTTTCATCCAATGAAAACAGTTTACAAGAATGGTAAGAGAAAAAAAAAAGAAATTATTCATATAATTGAATGCTTGTACTAACTGCATATGTTTGTGGGACTCGCAGTTCATTTACCTTATCAATACCCACCAACCTGACTGTAAACACATCAGCACTGCTTGATGTTACCTTTGTTTTACAATAAACTCAAGAACAATAACCCCAATTCGTCATTCGTATCCAATTTTGTAGACTTGACAATCGGAATATTAAATCTGAGATACAAAATAAAAAGACAGTGAAAGAGGGAAAGGAAAGCATAATAAAAAAAAGAGACCTACTTCTTCTCTTTCTTTCTTTATTTTTCTTTACTTCTTTAAAAGTAGTCAAAGAATAAAAATATACCATTTTTCTTAAAAGAAAAAGTAGAATAAAACACTAGTTGATAAACATGATCTTTTGATGTTTTTGATTTTAAATAAAACTCCGTTCTTTGAGACCAAATTTTTCCACCGGGGGAAATTTAGTTTTGTTTTTTCTTTCTTTCTTCCCTTATCTGTCATATTTCAATACCCTCTTTTCTCACTTCATTTTACATATATTTTTTATGATAATGGCCCATCAAAAACCGAGTACGAATCCGGTCGAAAATAAGCCAAAAAAGCGTCAAGAAGGAACCAGTGCTAATGGTTTACCAGTGCCAATCCATCCTGATGATGCAAAAGATAAAGTATTCACGGCTATTTTGAAAGCTTTAATCAAAATGGGAAATAAACCAAGCTCACCAAAAGAATTGGCAAATATAATTGTGAAGCATAAATATGCAACACTTGGGTAAATTTATATATACATATATATTTGACAACATTTTAACCATCATTTAGTGGTGCCACACCTTTTGCTACAGTCTCCTCTCGTATTTCACAACATTTCAAAAGAGCCGCTGAGCATAATCCTCCAAGAGCTCCTTTACTCGCAAAACATGTCGATCAACATCATTCTAGAAAAATTAACTATTCATTAGCTACTGAATCAGTACCAAACACAGGAGAATCAGAATTGGAACAAGAGACTGATTCTAAAGAAGAAGAAAAGACACAAAGCGATGAAGAAAAGAATTTACGTAAAAAAGCAAAGAAATCAAGCCCATCGACATTAAGAAAATCATCCAGATCACGTACGAGAAGTCAGCATGAAGAAATGGATAGTGATCAATTACAGTCTACTCATATTTCAAAGAAACGAAAATTGGATCAATCACCTTCACGTAGAAAATCATCTACTTCCACTGTTTCTGGATTCACTAAAATAGCATCAGATGAAGAAGAGGAAGAACAAGAAGATGATGACAGTGAGCACTCTGATTTTCATGAAGAAATGTTAAAAGGTCCGCCAGATGACGATCTTGACTCCATTCCTTCCATCAGGGTACCTTCTCGTAGACCATCTAATGCCGCCAATCCCACATCCGACATATCTTCAACCACATCAACAACTACACATGACGAACCACCTAAACCAACACTTTCTATACCTCCGCTGGAAGGAGGAACAGCAAGAAAACCTTCATTTTCATTTAATAGCGGCTTTCCTGGTGAACAAGAATTCTGGACACCATTCTCTTTTGAACATGACTTTGAAAATGACTATATCCATGATCCCTCAACTGCCCATCATATTCCATTTAACATTGCTACTCCAGAATCAATATCTGTCGCAGAACTGGATGACTACTTTGGTAGCTCATCATCATCTGGTGGTGTACCCCGCTCTCATCGAAAGAGTTTTTCATCAGCTATGCTCGGCCCAAATGACAAATCCCTCTTGCAAAAAGTGCTGCTAGCAAGTGCTGCAAGAGGTGTAGCAGATAAAATTGAAGAAGAACCTGAGGAAAGCTCAGAGAGAGATCAACAAAAGGATGAGAAGGATAAAGAAGAAGAAAAGACAGAAACTAGGCAGGAAAAAGTACAAGAAGCAGCAGAAGAGAATGTCGAAACTGTAGCTCAATCTAACAATGATAATAATGATAATAATAATACATCAAAAGTAACAGCCGCAGCACCGTCAACATCACCACCACCGTCTTCAACAGCAAATGCATCACAAACAGCAGCGAACACAAGCAGTTCGAAGCCAACTGGAAGCTCTTCACTGATGGATGTAGAAAATAGTGAGGATTTTGTAAAGTTTGAAGACGATGAAAAGAAAGATTCATCACCATCAAACGTACCTGCTGCACCTACGCCCATATTACCTGCACCTACAAATACCAAACGAGATATATTACCTGCATCCAACAACACAAACAATAGCAACACAGCCCCATCTGCTGCGGTGCTATCAGCATCTGAGCTGCTTAAATCGATGAACATTCAAAATATTAACCTATCCGCACTACAGCAAATGACCTCGAATCTTCAAGCTTTGCAACAATTGTCACCAACATTTGACTTGGCAAAGACCATGGCCATCTATATGCAAACACTTACAAAATCTGCCGCCGCAGCAGCAGCTGCTAATCATGCTTCCTCATCGTCCTCCTTGCCACCTTCAACCACTACCACTACTTCTACATCGAACGCACCCACTGCATCAACACCCACAACCAGCACAGCCCAGGCAACTTCGTCTGCTTCTCCTTCCATCGATATCAAATCCATCCTATCGAGGTTTCCTGCACTAGAAGCATTCTTGAAGAAGGACAGCAACATTACCAACAAATTGAACACGGGCAATTCAGCGCCACCTCCTCTAGTGTCTCCTACGACCGATACAGCACCCAGCCTAGCCCACAGTGCCACCGAACCGGTCGTCCATACATTGACACCCATGACACCAGCGATGTATATTACAGTCATTGATCACATCGCCGTGTGCGTGGTTGTACTTGAAAAAACAGAAACGGCACCTGAGTACCGTATCATGCGACGACTTGATACTGGCTTTATTAATGGCACTGCGTTACTAGCTGCTGGAGGCATCGAAACAGAAAGTGAACGAAGCATGATTCTAAGCTTTGAAATGGAACGCGTGCGTATGCCCAAAAGAAAGAGCCAGCTATTTGGTACATGGATCCCACTACGTCGAGCCCAGGAGTTAGCCATCACATGCTCTATTCAACACAAGCTGGGTCACTTTCTAGACGACTCAATTGAATCTTATTTCCCATCTCCTCTGCCGATCCAGATCACAAGGAAACCTACAGCACGTGATAATCGACTCACTGCCTTGGCCCTTGCGGCACTGCGGACTGACAAGACCGGTCCGTTTGCGGTCCCTCCGATTTCTCGACAATCATCTTCAGGCAGCGTGGCTGCTGCCCAACTACAAGAGCTTCTTCTCGCCAACCCGCACAAGGCGCTGAAGACGAATGGCCCCAAGACAGCACCTCTTCTCGGACAGTTTGACACTAAAAAGAGGGATGAGACAAACGATGCTGTGAGTAGCCAGGGCACAAATCAAAACAGCAGTGATACTTCGTCGCATGACGGTGACAACGAGTCAGACACAGACGTAAAACATAGCATCTTGACTGGATCCGCTCTACAAGAACTCTTTAGCAGGGCAAGTCTCGCCCCTCCAACTCATATTCATCCCAAGGACTTACAAAAGAAACGAAGACGCAGTTCGCTTCCGGAGATGCAAGATGATAAACGGTTTGACGACGATCAGGATGCGCCAGAGCCAAAGTTGACCACGGCACAACACAAGAATGCTCATGCGCGAAAAAGATCGGGTGGCAAATGGTCAACGGCAGCGAATGGAAGTAACGGCGGCGGCAAACTAGCATCCTACGGTATAAAGAAATCAGCATCAACGGGTGGAAGTATGATGAGAAGAACGCCTGCTGGTGGTAAGAGAATTCACATGCAACAAAAGAAGGTTAAAGAGGAATCAGAGGATGAAGAAGACGAAGTGAAGAATATGGTGGTCGAACACAAAACGAGCAATGCCAGTAGTAGTAGTAGTAATAGTAGTAACAATAGCAGCAGTCAGCCTGTTATTTCCATACCAAAGACATCTTCAGAAAGCCTAAAAGAGGACGACGATAATGATGAAGATGAAGATATCGATATTGGTGGTAGTGATTTTGATGACGATCTTCGATAGTACAGCTTCATCAAAACACACGCGCCATAACTGTACTTATATAAAATGTTCATCTTAAAGATATCAAGCTTTTCCATGTTCATTTCTATTGTTATTTGTACTTTTTTTGTAATTGGATGTGTTGATCTGCATGTAGCAGCCAGGCTTCTTATTAAATTAATATAAGGAATATGAAAAGTCTGAATGATTTTTAATATAGTGCAGAGTCTATACTTTTCTTTATAATATCAGTTATTTAGTTGATCTACTTTGTATACACACATACACACAGAGAGAGAGAGAGTATCTCTCAATGGATTACTGGTTTTTAATTTATTCAAAATAAAATATAAAGTATTAAGTGTGAATTTCTTGTCTTTGAGGGCTTTCTACCTTTTCAGTAAGAATTCCATGATCAGATGTTAATGAACTAAAGATGATGGTTGTGTCACTATTTGTTGTACTATGATTGCTATAGTCTAGTAACTCGTTTGAAGATGAAGTAGACATGGTATCTTGTCTTAACAAATCAGGCACTTCTTTTCTATGGATTATATCATTTGGACCTATTTCATGTGGTGCATGTAGCACAATATTATCTTTATGGTTCATCATGACGAGGCTATCCAAGAACGTCACTGAGCCCTTGGAGGCCTTTGTGCTATTGTGACTAATGATATCATCCTCTTGTAGGGCCATATCGGTATGCTTAAGCTTTGGAGACAGATAAGGCGATGTAATTATCTCATCCTCTGTTAGTCTGCCTAAAGGCTTGATCTCAATCGAGGCGGGCTGTTGTAGGTCTGGTAAACTGGTACTAGGTATTGATCGATAGTAATCTGGTGCTGGCAAATTAGGTGTTGATTTATGTCCGTCTGTGTATCGTCTTTGAACTTTTCTGTCAACGCTCTTTGAAGAAAGCACAGGCAAATCCAGTTCGCCGGGCTCACTACAAAGAAAACCTATTATCTCAGTTAATGATTTGAATAAAACATTCATTCGGAGGGGCTTACTTTTTTCTTCTAAAATTGGTTTAACAGCAATGGAGTCCAAGGAAAGCCTTGAAAAGTTGGCAATATGTGGGCTCATTATCTCTGTGCCTTCCTTTGATATGAGTATATCTAAAGTAAATCATTGCCTTTACTTACTTGAGGAATATTCTGTCGTTTCCTCTAGTTTATCATCCACCCAGTCAATTAGTCCATTGGATGTTGGATATGTACCGATAAGTATAATCGATTCCTGGGAGTAGGTCTCTTGGAACTGTATTGTTGATTTTACGCCCTTCATGTTTAATTCTGCTTTCAAAAAATAAGATACACTGATGATTCTACCATTTAGTGGAAATATGGTGGGTGGTGTGTTTGGAGGAATCTTTAATGACACTGTAGAGGACTGACAGGAACCATCGGTTGTGTTGATATCTACACATGAGTCTACTATGACTCTTTTATCAATAATCCTGCGTGGAGGGGGCTATTTTAGTATCCAAAAAAAAAAAATCTATTTCTCCTTTACTTGGGATTATTTGTCTTGTAAATGACTTGAACCAAGGATACTTTTAAGGCTTTGGCTTTGTCCATTGGAGGGAAATGACGCATGTTGCAGTCAATAGGAATGATATCACCTAGTGAGGTTTAGCATAAGCCCCTGTAATCAATTATGTGTCATATTTACCAGGAGTGAAAGCAGATTTTGGGCATTTGATATTCCACTGAGTCAATAGACCATTGTTGAGGAAACCGATGTCACAACAGGTATTTATTTCGTTTTTAAAATCAAGTTGTTCGATATTGATTAAATCTAACACTTTGATTTTCTTAACGGCGGCTGGAAGAGTAGAGGATAACTTGAGCTTTGGTTTCTTATGAACAGCTGTTAATGTATAGCTTATATCCACTACTTTTGGTATCTGTTGCATGTAAAGGATTACATCATCTTTTAATGGTTGACTTTTTTTTTATTACCTTAACCGAACTTGGCAAGTTGTTGTTGTCGGGTATCTTGAATTCAAAATCAAATGTATGGATTTGATTACCACTAAAGACACTGTATTTTTGTCCTGCTTTCTTTGGTAAAGCCAATACTTTGGACTCATTCATCAACACCACCCTCTCTCCTTGTCCTTCAATTAGTCCTTTGAAGGTCAACGTAATGTGTTGGACGTCAATTGATTTTGATAGATCGAGTATGATTTGCCCTTCGTAAAAATCATTATACATGGATGATCATTATGTTAATAAAGGAGGAATTACCTTGAAGTGTCTCTCCTGGGAAATAATACTTTTTATCGCCTAAAGAAATAGAAAACTCATTCGACTTTTTCATCATAAATAAATATAGAAAAAAAAAAGGAAAGAAAGAAGAAAAACAGAAAATGGCGCATTTAAACATCGTCAGGTAACGTTACACTTCGAATCTTGTTTATTAAGAAAGCAATGGTGTTCTTTCTCCTATTCTGTTGGCCCAGCGGCTAAATCTTCTGTTGATTCTTTCCAACCAGTTTGGAATTAATGTTCTTGCAACAGCGCTCAACAGGATACCAACGACAATTAATGACGCTGTATGTGGAGCGTCACTAAGGAACACAGCTGCTCCTAAAAGTATCCTATAATAGTACAAATAAGAATCATTCGTCATGATGATTTTTTTTCTTTCTTGCTTTACCAAGCAGTTGTTAATGAATAGACCCAATCCTTTCGATGAGAATAATCAACCAAATGAAGGGCAACAAAACCGATGACGATGATGATAAAGGTGTGTGCCTATGGTCAAGTATTAATATATATATAGTTTGTTAAGCTTTAAATGATACTCTACAAGTTGACTATGCTTTGTATGGTCACTAAACTGGAATACTTGCCAGAGAACGATAAAGAAGGAATAGGCAGTATAAATAGAGAAGGGTGAATTGATAAATATATGATCAGTGCTATTGCGTGGTGGGTAATCATTAAAACGGTGATAGATAAATACAAGGGTTGCCAATTGCCACAAAAGACCAACAAATGCAAAGAAATTAAGGTGAGCGTACTATATAATCCAGAGTTAGTTTCTTTTTTTTTTTTTCTCTCTCTCCTTTTTTCCCTTTTACCCAAAGGAAAGAAACGATGCCGTTCAAGACAGCGGTAAGTAAATACCAATAGCTAATAGCCTCATACACGTCTTTTTATGGTTATTATGGCTATATTATATATATGCATTTATTTTACCTTTGGGTGAACTTGGTAAGAACTGGTAAATAGTAAAACCAATCAATAAAAAGTGAAGTATTCCAGCCAAAAGAATCACAAAGTCTCGAGGACCAAAGTCATAAGAATGACCCAGGAACCTAATCATAAGGGGAGTTAACTATACAGGACACGCTATGTATTATTGAATTACCAGCCAGAAAAACTGAATCCCTGAGAGCTAATCAAGAAAATAGTAGCAAAGGTATTTGCCAACTTTATTTTAAAGTCCAAGCCCATAAAAGAAACAAGTGTAAAGAAATATGAAAAAAAAAAAGAAAGAAACAACAAGAAACGGACAGGTGATGTCACTTACAAATATAGTAATAGCTTTTTTGCTGCTTTTTTTCTTTTTTCTTTTTACTCTTTTATAATGTCTGTTCCTAATGACTATAAGAGTGCACCCTCATGGCCTTCACTTTATTGGCCTTTTCAACCAGGATATAACCCATTAGTCATGGTAGCAGATAAAGAGCATTCATTGTATTATATAAATGGTATCCATTGCTTTTGTCTTTGTTGTATTGTTTTAACACCTTTTTTTTATAAAGACATATGGAGGTTTACAATGATATGGTCCTTGCTATTTTCTCTCGTTGTCTATTTACCAGCAGGTAATAAAACATGATATACAACTATGGGACTCATATAACGTAGGTGTTTGGGCATTCATGATGTTTGCAAAGTCACGTACCTTGAATTGGTACACTTTGATGATGATACCATTTTTATTTGTTATCGGAGGAGCCATTGCTTCATTTGTGATTGGAAGCATCATTGGTGTGGCAATTGCTATTGTCTATAACGCAGGATTCTTTGTTATGTCAACCTGGATACCGTTCCTATGGGCATTAATCCATATATTGATTGTCATCATAGGGTCTTATTCAACCATTACTGCTATACTATAACACATCATATTACACGCATACACACACTTTTATCTAGTAGTAGTGTTTTATTTATATACATATACAACTATTGTTCTCTATTTAATTTTAACTGTTTATAAATCTCATGTAATCTACTGGCTTCATTCTCTCGATTATGTCTGTTGTGTATCTTGATCAAGGTTGTATACATTGAAGGCATTGGCTTGATTCCGTATTTTGTCTTCATGTAGTCTATTAATGCTTCAGCCACCTTTGGCCTATTCTTCTTTAATGCTTCATATCTGAACAAGTGGTTGAATAACGTCACTGTAGGCTTGATTCCTCTTTGTTCCATATCTATAAATACATTTTGAGCAGCATCGGTATCTCCATGACGGCAATACCATTTGATAAGTGTGTCATATATCTTCAAGTTGGGCTGAATATGATACTGAGGCATCATTGTCTTGTAGATATGGTGTAATCCAGGTATGTTATTATTTCGGCCATGTGCATCCATCAGTGCTTCAAACGTATTGACAGTAGGTGTGAGGACACTACGAGGTGGTATAGTGTGAAGAAGAAGAGGAGCAGCCGATGCTGTATGAAATTGATTCTTGGGCTCCTTGATCAATAATCTCGAGATAAAGGACATTTTATTTGTATCGGCTCGCTTAGGCACAAAGTGATCCAAGAACACTTTATCCGCTTCATTAATATTGCCCATACGTCCGTTAGCCTCAATCAACAAGCCGTACGTGTTCACATCTGGCCTCACACCCACTTTCATCATTTTACTGTAGACATTGAACACTTCCTCGGGCTTTCTACATTGAATGGCTGCTCTCATGTATATGTTGAAGGTTTCTTCAGTTGCAGCAGTAGCAGGTATCTCGTTCCAACAGTCTGTCACTGCCTTCCAGTCGCGTGATCGTCCATAGAGCTTGAGTAGCAAATTATAGTCGCGGCTATTGAGTATATATCCGTTGGCTATTGCTGTCTCTAGAATGTCGGATACACATTTTCTATAAAACTTCAAATAATTGGGTGAATACGTTCCGTTGTCCTTGAGTTGAAACGTCTGGACTGTCATGGAATGATACAATTCGGGTAGTTGACTTATATGTCCTGCATTTTTCAGATTCATGTATGCTTTCCATACAGCAGGTCCATTACCTCGACGAATGGCTGAAAGTAGTCTGTCTGCTGCTTTTTCAGGTTTTTTCATCAAGGGTTTTATGTGAAGGGGTTCAATGACCCCTGAATGGACAGGTGGATGAACCTTTCTTGTGGCTGATGAGAATGATCTTGTAATCAACAAACGACTTTGAATGGTCCACGATTGGATCATTGAAAATAAAATTTTTTTAAAAAAAAGAAGGGGTAGTGAGTGAGAGAGGGGGTGTGTATGTTTGTGTGTGTGTTGCTGCTGCAAGTGTACCAAAATTAAAACAGCGATTACTTTTTTTTTTGCCCATCAGTAATACATCATTATCTTTGATATTTGGACATCATCAAGCGTGTCCCTTTATTATACGCCTATCTCTTCTGTTTCTTATAAGCAACAGCTCATTCTTTTTCTCACAAATTTTTAAGCCATAAGGAAACGGACAGGTTCTTTTTTTTTTTTGCAAGTGTACTTTTACAAGTAAACATATATTCAGGATTTTTATGAGGAACAGCTATACTGACATATCACGTAGTTGGCGAGTATCCCATGCATTAGCCTTCCTTCATGCTCTCCTGATATCAACCTTATTCAGCGGCCTCTATACAATATAGCTATTGCAGGGAAAAGTCTTTAACATGATTGGCCTACAGCCTGCTGCCAAATCCTCAGCTGGGAGATATTCGTTTGTCACAGAGCCTGTTGACCAGAAAGTCCGTCCTTGAGATTTGTGTGCTTGACACAACTTTTTAAAGTATGTTTTAGTCTCCGACATTTATTTTTCAACATCAGCTAATGAAAGAAAGGGAAATGCTTTTTTGCTCACTTTAAAATCCAGTTTGAAGTGGTAATCTCAAGACTGAATCTATACATGAATCAATAAAAAGAGCAGGTGAATGATATTGACATATGCTTACCTTTATAATGAGCGGTATATAAGAAACAAGTAATTGTATCAAGTTCTTTAACAGTTTGATTTGCAAAATGACGAGATACTGCAGCTGCTAGTTCTTCTTTGTTTGTCTTTGATTTTACTTTAATTTTATGTACTCTAGCATATTTACGAAGTATTGAGATATCCATTGAATTGAAATCAATCTAAGCAAGATATCAATACAAGCTGAACAAGTACAAGTAGAGAACATACCGTTTGAAATTCTTTTCCTACATTTGTCTCTGCTGCTCTTCTTCTCTTTTCACGTTCTCTATCTTTATCTAACACTTGACTTAGCCCATTTATCGATGTAGACTGTGTTGGCTTTTGTTTGACTCCCATGGTTGAATGAATATATGTTTAGAAAAGAAGAAAAAAAAAGGAAATTCTATTTCCCCTCACTTGGTTTATCTCTATGTGACTTTTTCTTTTCTCTATTTTTTTCCCTTATGAACAACATCAAGCCAAAATGTTCCATTTGTATGCAAACGTATTCCAACGAAACCTTCCTTCGGCCTTGCTTTCACTCATTTTGCTTTGAATGTATTTGTTATTGGATAAATATTACACCTGAATCTGCCAATTGCCCTATTTGTCGACAAAGTATTCAATCACTTGTCTACAATGTTGATGAAGAAAACAATGACTTTGATGAATATTTTTTAAAAGACAGACAGTATGAGACACATGAACCACCTTTACGTCGAAAGCGCACTTTATCTCCAGGCGAAAAAATAAAATTGCAAAGAAAACAGGTCTACAAGGGACTATATCATCAAACTTGTTACCCTGAGCCTCTACCGCGTCATGTCAACTTTACCATCATCACACCTGAGCATATACCAAAAGTATTTATATATATAGCGTTAAATAGAATAAGGATAGATATAATCTCATATATGTATCAACATGCATAGGCCAAAGAGTTTCTCAGACAAGATTTAACGGCTATTCATGATATGGAATACATTGATCCTTTTGTGATAGATCACATTGCGGATATCCTATTGATACCGTTTAGATCAAAGGGTGCTAGAAAAATAGACATGCATGATCCTATCATTATTCAAAAGACAGCAGAATGGTTAGAAAATGATAAACTGGTAGCAGAACGACTATTGAGCGAATTGATCGCATATATAAAATCAGGTTTATCTTATCGAGATTTTGTATCAACCACTGTGTACACGTCATGATAACCTCATTTTTGTTATAGAAAATAAATGCAATTTATTAATTTACAGCTACACTATGATAACTAGGGGGAATACTACTTGTACTTGGGGTTAGCATAAGTAAAGGATCATAAGGTAATGTCTGCCAGACATCTTCATAAGGGGGCAAAACACCAATGGAGTCCGTGATGGCTATAATGATTGGTATTTCCGTTCTCAACTCATGTAGTTCATGTCGATGTTCTAAAAAGAGCACAAGCTTAAGCTTATGTCGTACACGAACAGATTCATTGCTCACGTCACACTGAATATCCGTAATTGTTCTAGGCACGTTCATATGGATCGATGTTGACCATCTACAGTTTTCCACTAATCTACTGCTACTTGTGTCCTTTCTTGTATATTCTATTATGCGTCCCTGCTTTTTATTTTTACCATTGAACCAACCATTGACTGCTCGGCAGGTGATGCTCTCTTTGAATGTGCAGCTCACATAGAGTACACGTAGATTAGGTTTTAATGGGACAGCATCGATCGTAATGGGGATAAGATCACCATAGGTATACACCTTGGTCGGTAAAGAGACCTCACAACTCAACTTGTCCGCCCATTGATCCGTGACATGAATAGGGTCATAGTAATCCGTAGTCAAATTTGGCCTTTGCCTTGATAGATGAATATCGCGCTGAGCTGTATAATTTCTTGAAAACCCAGGCTTCTCTGCCACTGCTTTCAATTGATACTCTACGTTGTAATACTTGTCCATCCGTGTTGATTCCGGTAAACTTCCAGGTAAGATCAAATCAAATTCGAATGTATGTATGCCTGCAGAGAGTAGATGAAGTTGCTTTTGTTGTGGCATCAAAAAAGTCCAGGTATGGCTAATGACTATTCGAGTATCGTTAAATTTACGCTCATAACCATTCCCTACTGCATATAAAGGGTGAGATTATGCATATAACCTATAATTTGACTTACCTTGATTCCAACTGACAGACACTTTCCCAAGGAAATGTAAACTTAGTGATTTAAAGCTCGTTGATTTCTTTAGTTTTAAACTTAGAGCTCCTCTCAGCACACAACCAGAGGACTCTAATGCTGAGCCATACATGATTAAGTGATTATTCTCTAAATGGATCCTTAGTTTTGCATTTGGTTTGTTTGTCGATATGGTTTTCATGATTTAAAAGATTCAAAACAAAGAAAGAAAGAATAACAAAAAGAAAAAGTACAATATTGTGTAAATCATATATCAAGCATTATTTTTATTTTTTTTTCTCATTGATGGACCAGGGATATGCACACACCTTTTTTACCTTCTCACGAGATCGCACAGAATTACCAAAAAGGGTTTAGATGAGAATCTTCTCAAGGTTTTTGTAGTAAACAGAAAAGAGCTCTAAAGTTTTGCATTGGAAATAGTGCAGATCGGCCATGTAATGCAACAAATTTACCCTTGTCAAATATATTACAATTGTACATCCATGTATAAAATGTATGCTTTTTAGTCCATTTCTACAAACGTACGAATATCGCGTGTAAATGACAGCCTGATGAAAATGTAACAATCCTTGTTTTCTACCATCAGCTGAGCAGAAAATGCAGACACTTTAAATTACGAAATATTCCATAACACATGGTCATGGTAACAGCAGTAGATTATTTCCTTCTCTTTTTTAAAGCCAATAAGGGAAAGAGGCAGAGTCATCAAATTGCCCTGTGCTTCAGTTGAATGCTGCATAAAGGACGTATGAATAGGAGTGGAGATATTGTCTATAAAAGGAGAAATTTTTCATGAAAGGCCTATTTGTGGATTTTTTAGTTACACTGCGGGTTGATGACAATGTAAAGACTCGGTAACTGACTCTTGGCCAATCGGTTCTGGCTTAATGTATTGCCGCGAATGAAACCGATTTGGCAACGCATTCTAGAAAAACTGTACTGTTTCTGAAAAGTAAAGCCGCGCCTGATGGACGTCGTGCGTTTCCAAGAATAGATGCTGTTACACCGACAAACAATACTCGCAACAAGACTTGATGGGTTTCTTTTTTTTTTTTAATAACATGCCCTATTGAGTGCTATAAAACCCACCCACGGACAAGATCATAAAAATGTGAAAAGAAACTAAAAAATCCCCTTCGGGCTCAAGTAAAAAATGAAGGTAAAGTAAAAAGAAGTTCTTCTGGATTGAGGTGCCCACTCGGTTTAAAGGGGACGCCAAGGCATGCGAAAGTTGTTTCTCTTGGTAATGGCTGATCGTAAGTGGTATATGTAATTGGATCTGTGCTACTGTCCAAAATCACGCATTCAGATGGATTCTGTTTGTATCCCATTTGTACACTATGATTTTAGCATTGTCGCAGTAGGTCAATCATATTTGGGTGCTTGGTGATGAAGGCTTCATCGTCAGCATAGGGTAGGCAATTCAGGGATGGTATCATTTCCAGCGGTAACGAGCTAGATGAAAGAGCTTGAGGACACAGTTGAGCTGATAGTTGGTTCATGTATACCGAGTAAAGATACGGTGAGAGTACGGAGCCCTGTAAAACGCCTGTTTTTGGACGAAATCGACGAGAAGTAGCATTAGAAAGTAAAACTTCGATTTGGACGTCATCGAAAAGATTATGTAGTAGATCCAGTAAAGGAGGCAGGATATATTGACTGAGGGTTTCCCAAACGAAGCTGCGGTTAACCTTATCATACGCGGATTTTATATCCAGGAAGGCTAAAACCGGAGTAATGCGAAGTTGTGAGCGTAGTATTTGACAGATCTCTGAAAGGTATAAAGTTTGGTCCAAAGTACTGCGAGATTCATGAAATCCCCCTTGCGCAAGATCCAGCGGTGATCCTTCGCTTGTCAATGTGGGTTGTATACAACGTTCCAGAATTTTTCTAAAAACTGCGGTTAAACTTATTGGACAGTAGCTATCTGGGCCTGATGGAGGGCCTTTTTATGAATTGGAACGACTTGTGCGATACGCCAAGGCAAAGGGAGATAGGATCAGGCCCAGCACATTTGAAACAGGATGAGAAGAACTAGTGCCACTAAGTGTTGAATGTGTTTTAGCATTTCAATACGTAAATGATCTACACATGAGACCTTTTTGGCAGGCAAATGTTTTATAGTATCTTGAATAAGATCAATGTCGAAGGGGCATTTTTCATCCGAAGGTAGAGTAGGTAAGGCAATCTCATGTGCTCGCACATTACTAAGTGGACCACCAGAATAAATAGATTCCAGGTGTGTCGCCATTATGTTCATAGAGTGCTGTGTACATTCAGAAGTGGAGAAAGTTGGCTTTAAAGTACGATTTTTGCGTATTTTACTTAATTTCGCCAGTGCTTTAGTATACTCGCCTGTGGTCATTTGGTGACAAAATTTCTCCCATGCCTCTCGTCGTCGTCGATGTATTAGTCGCTTAAGACGAGAACAGGCTTCCTAATGTCGAATCCAGCGATGTAGCTTATTAAGGCCATACGCCTTGCTCCATTTACGACAGTAGTGTTCACGGATTTGAAGGGCCTGTAGCATTTCAGTGGTCCAGAAGCCCTGCCAGCAATTATAGCTTGAAGTAACCCGACCGCATGTGGCATCTAGTGAGTCATATATGATTTGACATATAGAATGGCTGAGCTCTTCTATACGTCTTTGTGCTGTTTTTATATCATCAACCCGATGGGAAACAGATTTAGTTGACAGTTCAAGACGGGTTAAGGTTTATTGCATTTGCTGAGTGTATGCGTCGCGAACCTTTTGTTCTCTCAATTTTTCAAGATTCCATATGACTCATTGTACCTATATCGGTTGATAAGGAGCAGTGGTTTTAAAAGAGAAAGAGATCATTTTGTGGTTGGAATCGAGGGATTTATCCACATGGATCTTCATTTCTGGTTGGTTTAGTTCAGTAGTACTCATGAAAAGATCAATAATACTGCCCCCTTTATGTGTCAGAAATGTTGATTGGCCAAAATCCAGTCGCCTATTTCATACGATGATGCCCTTTTCTTTAAGCCAGCGGTGTACAACGTTACCCCGAGGATTGGTCGAGCGGTCCCCTGTATAAGGGCCAAGTCTAGCGTTTAAATCACCGCATATGATGGTTTGCCTTGTGTTAGGAGTTGTTGATGGGAGCGATGATAGAATCTCCAAGACTGTCTAATTATTCAGAGAAGATGGCAAATACAAGCAGTGAGTTAATGTATCAGCTATTGTGAAGGAGAGTTGATACTGTGAAAAAGAAGAATCACGAGAGGACAAGTGATGGATATGGTACGGACAGTTAGGATTTATCAGCATACATATATCTTGCGCGCCTCTGTTATTATAGTATTTCATAGGTATACCATACGTATGAAATTGTTTCCAATTTGTTGGCTATCTTGTAGGTGGGAGTAACTAGGCTTCAGTGATTAAAAGGACCAATGTTGGTTGTGCTGTGTCAATAATAGGTGTAATGACATGTCTGGGTAGACCAGTGGCGTTGAAAAGCGTAATTGTTAGGTATTTCATAAGGATACAGAGTTGCCTATGGTAATAGCTTCCCTTGTAGAGTTAGTGTCGGTATTGATAGATTCGTGGAATAAGTCATCCGCGTTGTCCATGGAGACATCATCAGATTAAAAGATGCCGGCAGCTTGGTCGGATACTTACGACTGCTAGATAAGGTTCCTTGTAAAATTGTTTTACTGATCCATCCTTTAGAGTAGAAGAAACGAGCAACAGCGTGCTTGATGGGGGCGCGAATGTAGTCCAGGGCGCGTGCCATACGGTTACTGTGATACATGAGGGCGAAATTGGCTCTTTCTTCAGGTGAAAGATCAGTATATTTAGGATCTCGCAAGAGTTTGGAACCACAAGGGTCAAAATTATCCTTAAAGGTAACTTTAAAGCGTTCCAATTGTTTACGAAGCTCATTCACATAATCATTATGCACAAGTAACGCAACAAAATTGCGGTCTGGATAGTGTATATTTAATATGCGGTTGTTCGTAATATCGAGTTTTCTCAAACGAGTACGAACCTGGCCGATAGGATCTCGTGCTTTAATTGGTAAGTATACGTATTGAAATCCTTGATTCTCAGGTGGTGGCTGTAGGAGGCGTGCGGCTGCTTCTTGCCGTTGCAATCGACGTTGTTGTTCATGCTCCGCAAGGCTACGCTTGATTTGGGAAATACGCTGAGGGCTATGCCATGGAGGCGTTTGGGAGGGCAGTGCAGGAAAATCTTCGGAACTGAGATGTTTGTCGTCTTCGTGATGGTTAGGCTGGTTCATATTCGTAGATTGCTGTGTCGCTTGTTCTTGAAGCTGGGTCACTTTGACGTAAACTGGCTATCTCTGCACGGGCTTCTGCAAGTTCGGTTGAGAGGCGCTTAATCATGCCCAGTAAGGGCTGCGTGTCGTGTGCCAGATCATTTGTGTTGCTATTTTGAGTAGGTTGTGTATTGTAGAAAACTCCAGAAGCTTCGTTGTTTGGTGAGCTTACAAGACTGTTAGGAGAAACTAAAGACTGAATAATCTACACATGGTTTGAGCGTTAACGGTCTTTTCACATCCATGACAACGAAATATGGGAATGGGTGGATCGACCTTAGTGGATCCATTACAACGAAATTGGGTCATCTTCTCGCAATGAGGACATTCCAAAGATTTGCGGTGGTTCTCAAACTGCAAAATCAAAGTAACTACTGCTTTCTGAGTGAGAGCATCATCCATATTTATTAAATTATTGTTATTTATGTCACCAGGTGGCATAGTTGAAGCAATTGTTTTTATTGCGGTTAGTGTAACGTATATTATAATTTTTTGAACTAGAAAAAACTGTACGTTTGAACAGATTTATATTTATAAATAATTAAAACCTCTAATGGGCGCACGATTTTAATATTATATCTTTCCCGCTCGGGGCAGTTCAGAAAGGAAGAATATAGGTGACTAAAAAACCCTTTTGGGATCAAGGGTAAAAATGCTTTAGAAGGAGTGAATGGGGTCAAGTGTAAGGTACACTAGTGAGAAGGAAAAGAGAGGAGCCATTCTAAGAGTTTTTGCCCGAGGTGAGTGGGCGGGGTAGGTGGAAGCTTAGCGCGATATAGGTAATCGAGTTCATATAGGATTCTGCATATGGTTGACCAGCGGATGGTCCATGAGAGTGTTGTGTTAGCAAAGCGAGGCTTCTTGGTAGGTAGCATATTTAAAAGGAAGGACAATGGGTCAGAAATGGTTTGAGGCATCTGGAGACAGTAAATGATATGACTTTTGTGAAAGGTTGACCAGGGTGCCGAGGACAGGTTTTGTATCGACCGCCAGGAAGTCAGGTAAGACGCCAACGTATGCAACGACCTCTTTCAGACTTGGACATGGGTAGCCATAGGACAGGGGCGAGTGAGATAGTTGGACGACAATGTGTAAGAAGAATGGAAGTATACGTAGATCGTTTATTGTTGAGGTTGTCTTGGTGGTATTCTCGTTGTATTGACCGTAAAGAGCGACGATCCAGGGACTCTTGGTTGGGAGGACATCTCTTCCAAATAGGAGGCCTAGAACGATTGTACCATTGGGAGTGACTTCGGGGCCGGCGGATAAGTGGAAGAAGATGGTGTAACAGAACATCTTCTGGAAGAGTAAGGGAGCGTAGGAGAAGCTGAGACTGCAGAGTATAAGCACGTTCCTGCAGGTTGGTAGCTTCGACGTATGTAGTATTACCGTGGTGGAAGATGTGTGAGAGCCACCGAAAATTCGACGCAAACAAACGTTTTGGGCAACTTTCAATTGCCTGCTAAGGAATGTGGTGCTCTTGGTAATGGCCAGGCTGTATTCCAGTTGAGCACGAACAATGTGGCTGTAAAAACGGGTATCAGAAGAGGAGAAAAGCCTTTGTGGTGAGCACCAATAGCTGAGAGTTGGTTCATAATGGCAAGGGTTTTGGTCTTGTTTTGATTGACCAATGCAGCAGCATCAAGATAGCCACCAGAGCGAGAAAAAATTGTACACTATATTTCCAGAAAGAGGTGTCTCGCAGACTTGTCACTTTTTCGTATAAATTATAAAAATTGCAAAAATGCAACTTTATAAAAAGATTGTTACGTCACTCAGTTAAATAATTCCAACTCAACGCTTACAAATGCCCAGCAACACTCGCTTGTTCTATTCATTGTTATAGAGTATAAAAAAACAAAAACACATCCAACCTCTGTGTACCCGACTAGATTGGTACGTTTAACGACGTACTGTTTGTTCTTCTAGCAGTGTTGGCAGGAACCACTGGGCAAGAGCATAGCTGCGATTGCCAAAG